TAAAATGATAAATGGCTACAAGCATGGATACAAGAAAAATTACACTCAAGTAACGATCCAATGTATTTCACGATTTTACAAATATGAGCGAGTTTATATTAATTAGCCTCAGGTAATAATTCTTTATTAGCTTCTTCCTAAGACTAATAAGACTTACTAATTGAATTATCCCTAAAATAATTAAGAGATTAAGCACATCCAAATATGGTTACAAGTAGTTTAATCCTATCCCTAGGTAGAATCTATAAAGTGAGGGTTAACACCTCAAGTTCTTGTTAATTAATCTTTCCCAATCCCAAATTATCTTTTTCAAAATTAATTCGAAGTTAATGGGAGAGTCCTAAGGTTAGCTAATCTCTTTGGAAACATTAAAGAACAAGAATAATTAAAGAAACAATAACTCACTTCAATATAAATAAAAATCGTTTAATACATAAGCACAATAAAATATTTAATCCATACTTTAAAGATGAATATTCCCATAAATAAGATTCAAGTGTTGGAAAAAATACTACACACTTAGATATATAATACAAAGCAAGGAAATGAGTAAATGAACATAAATGGTAAGAAATTCTCAACCAAAAGTTTCAAATCTTCAAGACCCAAGTATATGTGCAAGAACCCTAGCTCCAAAACTTGTGTTCTCTAGTCAAGAAGATTGAAAATAAGCCAAAGATTGGCCAAAGATGTGTTTTCAATAAGCTAGGTCATGTATTTGTGGGTTTGAAATGGAGAAAATGTGAAATGGCAAGTTTGTCCAGAGATGAATCCCGTTGACCGCACATGCGGAAAAAATTATTGCAGGTGCGACTTTGCAAAATCAGAGTTTCATTCGCAGATGCGAAACTTGTGGAGAATTACGTTCTTCGTAGATGCGGAACATATCGATGCAGAAGCGGCTCCGCAAATGCGAATTATCAACCGCAGATGCGATCCCAGTGGAAGGTTGCTATTTTCTGTAGATGCGGCTCTTTACTCGCAGAGGCGAGCTCGCAGAAGTGTACAGTATTTCGCAGATGCGAAATCACTGAATGATTTTGCACTACTTCAACTCTTTTTTCTTAATTCCACTTCATTTGATTTCAATTCTCTGACTTCATTTACCTAAAAATCTAGCTATACACACCATAAACATCCTCATATTATAATTAAAGGACACAAAAACTAAAGAAAAGAGACTAAAATAAATGGTAAAATTACCACTCATCACCCAACCCCGTCTAACAATCAATGCTCCTATACGGAACGGTACACAACCCGTTAATTTACTTTCTTGTCAGCGCTCCTAAACGGAACGGTACCCAGCCCCGTCTAACAATCAATGCTCCTATACGGAACGATACACAGCCTGTCATTTAACTTTTCTGTCCAATGCTTCTATATGGAACGGTAACTAGAAAGCCCGTATAACCTTCAATGCTCCGATATCGCATCAGAACGGTAACTAAGCCTGTCTAACATTCAATGCTCCGATTGCGCTTTGGAACGGTAACCACAAATCCCGTGTTACATTCAGTTCTCTCTAACAAAAATCACAAAAAATTCTCTTATTCAAAATTTCAAAAAACAATGAAATGAAATAAAAATCTTAAAGTATTTTCTTTCCACCCTTCCTGAACTACGCTTGACCTGATTCTCATTTCAACGAGATACGTAGGCAACCTTCGGCTTCGATCTCATTTTTTCAATAATCAAAAAAATAATCGATTAAGTCAAAAATTCAAAAAAATTGTTGCTAAGTCAAAATCCAAAAAAAGAGGAACCCTTCCACGAGTTTAGTCCCATTTATCAAAAATCAAAAAAAAGAACAAGAAAATCACCAAAATATTGACTTGGTTAATACCAACATAGTTAAGAGTGTGCATGAGAAAGAACAAGTATAAAATTGATATGATGGAGAGGATCAGCTTTGGGTAAACTATAGACTCTTGCGGTACCTCTTAATTACACCTTAGTGACACTTGAAAAAATTCTCATGCTTACAGTTAAGGTAAGAACAAAGCCGAACTCATTTGTTTCATGTGTATTGTGTGGTGAGCCTAGATTAAAATTCATTGCATGGCATTGTAGATCTAGAACTTGGCCCGAATGTTTGTTGAGGTAAAATCCTGAGTAACACTTAGTTTAGGAAAGGATGATAGGCATTCTTTGCCCGTTCGAGCCTTTCAAGCCTACCAAATGACATTAATCCCTAGCATTCCCCCTTTGAGCCTTAAGCTTTTTCTTGGAGAACCACATCTTATCCTATACCCTTCTTTGTGCTTACGAGCACTACCCCTCTCTTGGCCCAACCTCCTTGCGCGCACTGAAAATGTGTAACTTTGGACGAAGACCAAAGTGAAGGCGAAAAGCATAAAAAGACGAAAGATGCAAAGTCCAAGGCAATCAAAGACATGACTTCAAGAAAAGAAAGAGGAAACTCCGCAAATTCAAAAGGAGGATCTAACGAGAAGGAGAAAACTTCTGCAAATTCGGACGAAACAAAAGAGAAAAAAAGAGAAAAAGAGAAAAGGGGAAAACTCCACAAATTCAAAGAGGAGGAACTCCAACAAAAGAAGGAAAAACTCCTGCAAAGCAGGAGAAGCTTCAAAAAGAAAAAAAAGAAAAAAACCCTCCAAAAATGGAAGAAGAATCTCCCACAAGTTCAAAATAAGTTAAACAAAAGAAAGGGACATCGAACCGAACAAGATCAAGCGACGAAGTATGGTTTGAACGCCAGAAACACAGATGCAGTGCAATGCTCATGGAGGATTTAGTCACTTTTATCCCAAATGAATATCCTACCCGTCCCCAAGGCTACATTACAAGCCAATAACAAAGCCCTACATGATCCTACTCCAAGTGTTCTCACATTAGTGGATACTCACATAAAGGTCAGGTATATGGTATCTCAATTGCATGCATTGGACATCTTTTTGAGTGTGAGTGTACTTCTCAAAATATCCTAAAAAAGCAAAACACTTCAAAATGTGTGAAAATCAGGACTTTCTTTTGGTGAGGGCACTTGAAACATGAGTTAGGCAGAAGCCGAAACCTTTGATTGAAGCAAGACGAACAAATCTTGTCGAACCTAGGTATATCTGAGGTACCATTCGAAGCTATATGAATTACCCATAAGCTGATCTCGGTTTGCTGAAAAGTATATGATGGAAATTCTTAAGCACAAAACTAATCGTTGGTTCAAACCAAAGTCAAGTAAAAAATGAATGATCAATAAAATCGCAGTCTTTCTTCAAATATTCTCTACAAAGCTACAAAACAACGAAAAATACAGAAAAAAGAGTCAAGTTTGTTGACAGTAGAGTGTTTTGTTGTAACAGAACTACGCCCGACCTGACTTCCTACAGGGGCATACGTAGGCAACCCACGTAGGGTCCAGTGCCACTCTTGTAATGGAAAACCAAACAAAAAAATCATTTCTATTTATTCGGAACTACGCCGCAACTTGATTTCCTTTGGTAGGAATCCGTAGGCAATCCACATCGGATTCAGTCATCTTTTGCAATCGAACTACGCTTTGGCCTGATTCCATTGGGATACGTAGGCAGTCTTAGTCAGACCCGGCCATATCATTTCAAAATTCTATAATTTTGCATCTAGGAAATAACTTCTTGCTTTTTCATGTGCCCTCCTGAATAATGGGCATTTCATTTCAAAGCCAATTTTTCAGGTGCCCTCCTGAACAATGGGCATTTTATTTCAAAGTCAAAATTTTCAGGCGCCCTCCTGAACAATGGGTATTTTATTTCAAGATCAAATTTTACATGCGCCCACCTTCTAGTGTCCCATTGACATGGGGTGTGTAGGTAATTCGAACCCTCAAAGTCAAAATAAAACACCAAGTGTCATCACAATTTGACGTTGGGGTAATTTGCAAGTCAAAAATAAAAAATCCCATCGTTTTATCGAACTACAATCGGCCTGATTCTCGTTACATCCGAGATATGTAGGAACGCTCAACAAAGAGCCCGACCCTATCCACAACAAAATCCATTCAATCTATCCATCCATCCAACACCACGTCCTAGTGTTACCACAGTTCGACCCTAGGGAAAGTTTGGAAGCAATGTCGAGATCACACGAACCCTTTCGTCCTCGAACATTTGACTTCCACTCCATTTAGCTACGATTCACATGTAGTAATCAATCCTCTAGAACTACACGCTACCTAATTCTTGTGCAACCCGAGATATGTAGGCAATTCAAAAACCAGAGTTCGGTCACAACCTTCAAAACATCCTCATTCCCACTCTGTCATATCGGGACAAAATTGAGTATGATGTCAATTTCTTTGCCCGAAGACTCTTACATCGTCTCCAGTCAAAGAGGGGCTCCTGTTGACACTCAATTTTGACCCTCCGTATTTAAAAATTAACTTTTGCATGCTTCCTAGTAAAAAAATAATAAAAATATAGTTTTTTTCACATTATTTAGCTCTTATGCAATTTATTGATAATTATTCATATTTTAACAAAATATGTGAATTTTTATCATTTTATTGTAATTAGTTAAATACTACCATTTTTGTGCATTTTTCTAAATTTCAAATAATTTATTGATAATTGTCCTATTTTTCAAATATTAGGATACTCTGTCAATTTATTATCATTTTAAAAAATAAAAATAAAATAATAATTACCATGTCATCGTAGTAGTTACATTTTTCAATAAATACTACAAAATTTTCTAACTGAATAATCATTTTCTAATTCATAGCACAACCTAGTAATTTAAGGAAACGAGTAAAATTTATTTCAAAATACGGATCAAGTCCGATCAAATTTAATGTCCGTCAACATCCGATGTGACAAGACATTGATATGAAATTGACATGACATTGATGTAACTTGATGTGACATGTCTTTCTTTAATTGTTGACCACATATTTTTCTTTTATATTTTACATTTTTTTATTCAAAACTTGGTCCCTAAGTTTGCTACCCCACACCCCACATTTTACACACTACAAAAATAAAAATACACCCACATCCCACTTTAATCCATAAGCTCTTTAAGGACTTTTGAAAACCCTAAGGCTCATATTATTTTGGGATTTGGTTCTTCATTTCTCTCTCCTTTGATAGGAACCACCGACCCCCACTTTTTCTTTGCTGCCTTGCCGCCGGCCGGCCACCAACGGCAATGGCTGGCACCTTTTATTGCCTCATCGCTGTTCTTCTCCTCTCTCACGCCCTCATACTCTCAATAGTGGTGAACGGGAAGACATAAACTCACAGGAAATACCATGAAATCTGGCAGAACTCCATGAATATCAGCAACCCCTACTTTTTTCTTCACTGCTATGGCCGCTATGTTCAGTAGAGAAAGGACAAGCCTCTACGGCAATGAGTTGGAAACTTAGTAGCCAGGTCGTTTGTCCCCGTTGTCTCGTTTCAGGTGATGACTCGCCAAAATCCCGATGACTATGTGTTCCCTTAGATCCGACTGAAAATGTCCAAATCTGGCTAGAGTTTTGATTTTTCGGTGACCCTCTTAGGATGCTGTTTGGACCCGCATTTAGTTATTGTTGATTTGATTTGCGATTTTGATAGATTATATGGTATATGAATTTTTCCGGCGACGAACCACTGTTTTCCGCTCATTCTGGCGATCCCTGTAAAGTCTGGCACCCCTGTTGTCTTTTTCGATTTTGGGGGAGTTTGTTTGGTTTTGTTCATATTAGCTCAAGCTTGGCCTATTACTGTTTTCTGCTAATTTAAGTTGCACTAACGCTTGTGAATGATTTGACTCTCTTAGAGTATTTGTTCATGGTTTTGGTCTGTTCCTGCCTTGCCTTGTACCGATGACTTTCTTATTTCCATCATTGGTTCTATTGCTTAAGGTGCTGCTACCCCATTGGCTTTAACTGTGTTCGACCATTTTGTTTAAATCTTTCTGTTGAAGGAGTACAGATTCGAAGTTTTGAGACCCTTTGATCCTTTCCGGACTGTATTGTTTATTATGACCCGTTGGTCGTTTGCTAGTATTCGATATTGGGCTCAATACTGTTATTAAATAAATATTATACATAGGCCGGTGAGAATAATTATTTTGAGGCCCGACACCTCGAATGACCCTCAGATTGGTCCCGAAATAACGAGGCGATGATAATAAATATCGGAGAATAAAAGATGAGGATGCGATGAACCCATAAAACCTATGGAGGGCGACACGATTAGCAACCGGAGTCACTACCGAGGCGGTTCCAGTTCTCATGTCTAAGATGGATATCGAAAAATACATATTTGAGCCTCCTATATTATTTTTAAAACTATTTTCCAAAACTAATTTCAATAAACAATCTTTCCCAAAAAATACTTTTTCAAACAATCTTTCAAATACAAAAACATTTTTCAAATTATTTTCTAGAGCAATTTTCCAAAAAATATTTTAAAACAAAAACCATTTCAAAACACATGTACCTTTATTAGCTTATCTTTTACGTCATATTAACTAATAATTTCACTTCTCTTGTCTTGCAAGGTACTATCATACGAAGTCGTCTTCGGAAGAAGACATTTTGGAGAAAGATCGAAGATAAATCCCTCATCAATCCCTGCTTCTTACATCCCGTTCTTGGGTGTACCTAAAACGTAAAGTATAGTGAAATCGTAGATAGATATTGTGCTTGCTTGCTTTGATGTCGTCTACTTACTAAATATTTAGGGTAAATTGCATATAGTTAACAATTGGGTTAAATTACAATATTGCACGTTAGGTGATTTTTATGGAGTTTGTATATATCTAGAAGATGCCATATATGTTTTACAACTCGGTTGATTAATTAGGATCGATATGCATATAGTCAACTAAATCTATATACATAAAAAAATAAAACCATGTCATCTTCTTTCAAAATAAATAAATAAAATAAATAATTTTGTTGTTCTCTTAAAGTTATATTAGCATGTTTTTCGAACCATGTCATATGTAATTTTTTTTAATTGACGCATCTTAAGTTAAAAATTGTAGTTGAATTATCATACCATTCTTTAAGAGACTTTGTCCTTGTAGTCATTTGGGCTTGGCTCACATAATTTGTGTTTCAAGACCATGACTCGAGAGATGGTCTTTAGTTACTCATTGAATGATAACTCTTTTTTTTAGCGCGAATATTTCTTTGTATTGATGGGATAATTTTCTATGTCATAAATATTTTGGTACATTTTCCTATACCATACTCATTCCATTCATTAAATTAATTCTTTTAGTTTTTTCATTATCTACTAAGATTGTTCAAAGATTATTCTTTTCCACTCTTAACAATCGTTTAAAATAAATTTTAATTTCTAGCTTTTCACTTAAATAGTTAATCTTTGCACATAAATAAAAATCTTTCCAAGTGTATCCTTTAATTAATATTCATTTAGTTAATTTATAAACATTCCACATATCACTACACAATATCTTATATTTTTATTCCTTTAACACTTACTCATTCATGCTAATATTTTCACACTTTGTTTCTTTGGTCAAATTACTCCTATGCAAATAATCATTCTTTTCTTTTCACTTTACTCCTTAATGCATGTTCTCTCATAATTTAATCACTCATTCAAAGTTTTTGTCTTCAAATTATAAGTAGATTCTTTTAATCTTATTCTTGTGAAATTCAATTCTTTGTTTAAATTCTTTGAGCCAATATGTAGTCTTTAAGCACAATTCTTTTATATTATTCAACTCACACTACGATACGATTCTTTAATATATTTTTCAATACACCATTGTTACATATTTAATCATTCTTTATCTAAATTAATTTTCACACTTAGTCTATTATTTCAAAACACAGCTCTTTCTACACTTCATATATTCTATACTATCCGATATACCTTAATCACTTTGTTTTCAAGACACAAAGTCAATGGCATTCTTTATTCGTATTTTTAATATTGTTTGATATGATTTGAGACCTCTACTAAGTTCGTTTCGTATTTTGGGATGTTTTGGTATATTTAGATGGGGTCCCGGGAGTGATTCAGATTGAAATGAGATTGGATTTTGGAATTTTGGAAGAGCTGGTGTGATCAGGTCTGGTGCAACCGCACCTGTGAGGGATAGGCTACAGGTGCGGAGCCGCAGAAGCTGCCATGGGGTCACAGATGTGGTTCTGGGTGAGTTGGGGTATTTGCGCAGGTGCAAGGGAAAATTCCGCACCTGCGATCTCGCTGATGCGAATGGTTGGTCACAGAAGCGGAAAGGGGCCTGGAGTGGTTGGTCCGCAGAAGCGGATGGTTTTACATAGAGGCGCACCCGCATGAGCAGGATTGGGACCGTAGAAGCGAAACTTTCATCGCAAAAGCGATCCCGCAGAAGTAAAATTTTGGCCGCAGATGCGAAAGCACTGGGCTGAGTTGAAAACTTTAGGGTTTCGTGATTTTTATCATTTTGGACATTTCAAGCTCGGGCTAAGGCGATTTCTTTGTAAGGGATTTCGATGGGTTTCTTGAGGTAGGTCACTTGTGATCATTTTTATTCAATAATATTATTTTCCCACCTAGTTTGTGTGTTTTTGAGGTGGATTTTTGGGAGTTGAGGCTAGGGATTTGGAGAGTTTAATTTGGGGATTTCAGTGACGAATTGGTGTCGGAATTTGGTAAATTTAGTATGGTTGGACTCGTGATTGAATGGGCTTTTGGATTTTGTAACTTTTATTGGATTCCGAGACATGGGCCAGGTGGTCGACTTTTGAGCTGACTTTTTGACTGTTGATTAAGAACTTAGTATTTTCTTATGGAATTGATTCCTTTAGCTCGTGTTGATTGTATCAAATTATTTGTGGCTAGATTCGAGGCATTCGGAGGCTGATTCGCGAGGTAAGGGCTTATTGGAGTAGAGATTCGTACGGTTATAGGTAAGTAACACTTCTAAACTTATTTTTGAGGATATAAAACCCCGAATTACGTGTTATGTGATTGGTGTTGAGTTGACGCACATGCTAGGTAACAGGCGTGTGGGCGTGCACCGTAAAAATTATGACTTGGTCGATTCCGTGGAACTGAATAATTGAATAATCTTGTTGTTATCCATTTATTCTCCATGTGTTAGAGAAATTGAGCTACAAGTTATGTTAGAAATCAGGCTTAGGCTACATGCTGGTACTGTTGGGTCCCACAGAGGTCATGTTGCATGTTGAATTATTTGCTTAATTTTCAATTATATACTCAGTCACAACTATTATTTGCATACCATATCTCAGTCTCTATTGCCATTTATTGATACATCATATTATCATTGTTTGGGCTGATTATCATAATTCTTGTGAGCCTGAGAGACTGGAGAGATTGATGACCGAGTGAGGCCGAGGGCCTGATTGTGAGGATATTGATGGGATCGGGCTGCACGCTGCAATATATTTTATTGATTCATGCCATGATTGGCTTATTATAGCGCTTGAGATGGATTTGCCCCTTCGGAGTCTGCACACCCACAGTGAGCGCAGGTACCTACTGAGTGCGAGTGCGAGTACGAGTGCGAGTGCCGAGCGTTTGGGAGAATTGAGTGACTGTGATGTCACGACTTAAATTTCCCTCCGTAGGATGTCGTGATGGCACCTAGTCTCTATGATTAGGTAAGCGTAACAATATGCAGAATAACTAAATATAAAGCTGAACTCAAACCTCGACATATGAAATATATAAACACTGCGATTCAAAATAGTAACAACTCCCAAAACCCAGTAGAAATAAGTCACAAGCTCTAAAGAGAAAATGTTAAGTATCTCTATACATCAGAGTCTAATAAAAATAAAAAAAGCAACACCATAGAGATAGAGGGGGACTCCGAGGTCTGTGGATACTGGTAGATGTATCTTGAAGTCTCCACGTATGGTTTAGCTCACTGGTACCTGGTTTGGTAAGCAGTACCTGGATCTACAATAAAAGATATGCAGAAGTGTAGTATGAGTACACCACAACGGTACCCAGTAAGTGCCAAGCCTAACCTCGGTAGAGTAGTGACGAGGTCAGGTCAGGGCCCTACTAGAATAAAAGGGAAACAAGGCAGAAGATATAACAATATAATGAAATGGCTGAGAATTTGAACAATGAGAAATTATAGAAAGGTAACAACACAGCAAAAAAAGGTAAACAATAGGGGAGCTCCCGAGGTACCGCCTCGTAGTTCCAAATGTTCAGGGGGAGCTCCCGAAGTACCGCCTCATAGTCCCAAAAGTAAATACACAATAGGGACACTCCCGAGGTACCGCCTCGTAATCCCAAAAGTAAATATGCAATAGGGGCATTTCCGAGATACCGCCTCGTAATCCCAAAAGTAAATACATAATAAGGGCACTCCCGAGGTATCGCCTCATAGTCCCAAAGGTAAATACACAATAGGGGCGCTCCCGAGGTACCGCCTCGTAGTCCCAAAAGTAAATACACAACTCATAACTTATGGAACAACGAATTTGCAGCAAGGAATCCTATAGTTAAGACTGAATACAAGAATCAAGGAAGCAGGTAATTCAACTAAGCATATTACACAAATTGTAAGTAAGAGTTAAGATACGTAGACATGCGACATTAGGCTAAACATGATGACTACATAGGCTAGAGCAACTCAGTTAAAGAATTAAAAGAAAGCTACTCAGCAAGAACCGTGTTTTTCAATATTTAACCTGAGTACGCACTTGTCACCTCGCGTATATGGCCTTCACGTATTACAAATACCATAATAGTACCAAAACCTAAAGGGAGTTTCCCCCACACAAGGTTAGACAAGTCACTTACCTCAAATCTCGCTCAATCAATTGATAAGAATGCCTTTCCCTCGACTTTTCGACTCCGAACAGACCAAATATTGCCAAAAACAATTACATACTATAAATATAACTATAAGAAACTAATCTAAATAGTGAAATTATGACTTTAACAATGAATTAGAAAATCGCCCCAAAAAGTTGACCCGGGCCCACATCTCAAAATCGGGTAAAAGTCACAAAATACGAACACCTATTCGATATCGAGTTCACCCATACCAAAATTACTCAAATCCGATACAAAATTCTCGATCAAAATCTCAAAATTCGGCCTAAGGATTTTTCCACCTTTTTCACAAATTTCTCAACCCAAATCCTAAATAAAATGAAGAATAAATGATATCTTAGTGGAGATTAATCAAAAACAAGTCAAGAATCCTTGCCCAAATGTTTTCTCTGAAAAACTCTTGAAATTTTGCCTCAATCCGAGCTCTCTAGGTTAAAAAATGGAGAATGAAATCAAACCCTCAGACTTGGCCCTTTTTCTACCCAGTGATTTCGCTTCTGCGGGCTCTCAGTCGCACCTGCGGAAAAACCATCGCAGGTGCGGATTCCACTTATGGCCAGGCTTTCCACTTCTGCGGACCGGGGCTCACACTTGCGAGCCCACATCTGCGACGAATGCCCTATTTCTGCGACCACAGCCTAGGCTAGCCCATCCGATTCTGCGATCTTGCTTCCGCATCTGCAGACGCGCAGATACGGCCCTTACCTCACACCTACGATCCCAGCTGGGCCAAGCCTGCGTTGCTTCTGCGGACAAATGCTCGCTTCTGCGAGTCCACTTCTGCGGGACTCTGACCGCATCTGTGGTCTCAGCTGGGCAGTCTAATTTCCGCTTTCGCGGCTCGATGGACGCTTCTGTAGTGCCGCACCTGTGCCCCAAAATGCACAGGTGCGATTGCACCAGACACAGTAATGCCTCACCTATGCACCAAGTCAAATTTTGTTCCGGATTCAAGTCTGAATCACACCTGGGG